TGGTGGCGGCGTAAAATTATTTATTAAATAGATTCGAGCTTTTTCTTTTTTGGTCTTGTCCTTCGTTGCAGTGAAGAGGACAAAACTGTCTACTCATAAAATAGATGAAACGTTACGTAATAATACAAGTTGTATTAAATCGTAAAACCACAAATTCTAAAGTAAATCGGTGGAACGTAATAAAAGTTCGTTTATTAAATATTTAGGTTTTAACTTTTGCTTTTCTTTTTTTTTAACACATCGGAGTTGATCCTTTTTCTATTCCATTTATTTATCATCCTGAGTAATAATTTAAAGAGTTCTTGAGTTTTACTGTATAAATTAAATTGAATTATAAAATAAAAATTATTATATAAGATAATACTTGTAATATCAAATATTTTTTTTTATTTAATAATAAATATGATAAATTTTAATATAATTAAAATTACACAAGACCTTTTCCGAATCTAAAATAGATAAACTCGAAGGAAGTGGTAGGTGAGCAATTGCAATGCACTCAAGGGGCCATGAACTTGACAGATATATATCCATCCATGGGCCCTTCCTACAATAATTTCTTAAGCTAGAAACACTAGACAATAACCTTTTTTAATGGAGTTTCATCTTCTTCCATGATAACAATTATACTTTTTTTTTTTTTTTTTTTTTTTAATGGAGTTTCATCTTCTTCCATAATAACAATTATACTTAGTTTTTTTTTTTTTATATATAAGACATGCAAATTAAAATGTATTTATTGGTTTAATATGAATTTTTTTTTTAACACCTATGTCTCGTGACCTAACAATTATAAATTAGATTGTAAAATGCATTCCTCCGCTCAAGTGTTGGAGTTCAAATTCTTCTAAATGTAAGTCCATTCAAAAAAAAAAAAAATTTGTATTTTTTTTCTTATATGCAAATATTACTGTGAGAAAGGCATTATATGATTGTATTACCATTACCTTGATCTGTTTCTCCAGAGGACAAATAGCTTGTCTTTTTTAGCGTCTTTCGTGGGTGTGGTTATCGTTACGTATAGTAATACAATGCCACAAAATTTTAGATTTATTTTCCAAACAGTTATAATATTTAAAAATATTAATTTATAAATTAATTTTAATTTATTTATTATCAATATCAATTATCTTATCAATTATTAACTAATAATTATATTTATCAACTATATTAATAATTAAATTAAATTAAATCAATATACGTTTTAAAAATAAGATTTTAAAATTTACGTCAATAACTTAAATAATTCAATGATAATTTTTTTTTCGTTGAAAATAAGAAATTCTGAATTTAAATCACATGACATGATACGAGTAAGATGAGATAAATAATAAAAAAAAATTTATTCTTCATCTTATTATATATATAATATAATTTAAATTTAAAATTTTTTATTATTTTTTAAAAAATATTAATAAATTATTTAAATGATTAAACTCAGTTAACATTATTTGAAGTTAAAAGGAATCACCGACACTGAGCACTGGTAAATGTACATGCAACTACTCGTGTCAAAAAATCAACGCAAAAAGATCAGACAATAAACACTACGGATATTTTGACAGACCACTTTGCACATTCATGGATATAGTTGCCTGACTGTAAAAGTACTTTTTCTAGTCATGTGTCACGTGGGATTGATCTGCAGTACCTGAAACCATGATGTCATGTGACCTTCAATGATTCGTGGTAAAAACATTATTATTTTTAATTAATTTTTTAATATTAAATAATTATATTAAATTTTAATTAATTTAAAGTTAAACCACAGATTCTATTAAAAAAGAATTTTTTTAATCTCTGTTTTTTTATTCATAAAATTCAAACTTAAGATTTTATTTTAAAAAATTAAACTTCTTTTATTTAGATTAATAAATCATTGTTAAAAAACATTATTTTGCTATCATCGAATAAGTTTGTAGGCACTTCCTAGAAGTCCCGATCTCAAAGGAGTTACTCTTTCGTTCGTTCTTCCCCTTGGTAAAACTTTGGATTGTAATTGTCTGCCTCCAATCCATCATGTTTTGCTAGGCCCCGCAATCATCTCTTTTAACATATACTAAAAGGATATTAGTAGATGGTAGCTTACATTAAAAGGCTCTTAATGTTCTAGATTTCTCCTATGCCCATATTACCATGTAAGAAATGTGTAGTATAAATTATATCAAATTATATTATATTAATTATTGAATAAAAATAATCTTTTAATATTAATATGTTGTACCTATAATTTTCATGATTACAAAACACATTTGAGTGACTAATTGGTTTATTTAGGTGTGTAGTTAAATTGTTAAAAGATTGCAAAGTGAGTAAATTTGAATTGCACTAAAAATGAACCAAAAGGCTTGAAAAATGTGCAGAGAGCCGACTCTTAAAACCTACAGTCGGCTCTGGTGAAAGTGAAGTGCAGAGAGCTAGCTCTTGCAGGAGAAATTCAAGCCCATTTGTTTTCCACATGCACCAAACAACGGGCTTGAATTTCTTCTGCAGAGCCGACTGCTGCCCTTAGAGCCGGCTCTCTACACTTCACTTTCATTAGAGCCAACTCTCTGCACATTTTTCAAGCCTTTTGGTCTATTTTTAATGCAGTTCAAGTTTACTTACTTTTCAATCTTTTAGCAATTTAACTACATACTTAAATGAACCAATTAGTCACTTAAATGTGTTTTGTAATTATCAAAATCATTGGTACAACAATCTCTCACTTTTTGATGATGAGAAAACACTTTGAGAATGAATTAATGAAAACACATATAGACTTCAAAATTAACCAAAAATTTTAGCATCAAAACACTCCAGAAAAGCTCTTGAAACCTGCAGTCGGCTCTGGTGAAAGTGAAGTGCAAAGAATCGGCTCTACGGGAGAAATTCAAGCCCATTGTTTGGCTCACGTGAAAAACAAACGCAAAGTCAGCTCTAACTTTGCAGCCGGTTGTAAGGGCACATTTAATGCACAACGATTGAGTTATTTGGAAATTAATTAATGTTTTTAAAGTTAGAATCCCAAAGCCAATTTTACATTTTGCAACTAGCTGTGTAAGCAAACAGAATGTGCAGAAAACTCGCAAAACCAACTCAAGGAATGTAAGCCAGCTTTATGAAGAAAAGAGAATGTGCAAGAAACTCACAAAGCCGACTGTAGCTCTTAGAGCCAACTCTCTACACTTTACTTTCACCAGAGCCGACTACAGGTTTCAAGAGCCAACTCACTGCACATTTTTCAAGCCTTTTAGTTCATTTTTTGTGCAATCCAAGTTTACTTATTTTGCAATCTTTTAGTAATTTAATTACATATTTAAATGAATCAATTAGTCACTCAAATATGTTTTGTAATCATCAAAATCATAAGTACAACATAATATATATTTTTTAATTTAATAATTTATTTTTTATAATTTAATATAATTTAAATTATAAAATGGATCAAAACCCCAACTACTGTACGAAACCCAATTACATGAGAAAGCCTATGCGAAACCCAAACCACTATTTGCCGCCCGTCCGCACATAACCCCAACTAGAAAAATGGATCAAAAGACTCAAAACCCCATATTTAGAAGAAAGCCCCAAATTTCAAAAAAATAATAATAAAATAAAAACCCAAATTTTACTTTAAAAAGATAGCCTAAAAATATAAAATAAATCAAAATTGATACCATCTTCCAGAATTTCGGCTGACAAATCAGGGATCAATTACAATCATGCATCTACTCCTCGTCGTCCCTGGCTTAAATGGCCCTGATTTGTATATATGCTTGAATTAAAGTTATGATATCAAGAAATAGTGATTTTATTATTTTATCCTTAATTGCTAATGTTATATTTTTTATTTTAATTAATTATTATATTTTTTAATTTATTAAAAACAAAAAATATAAAATTTTAAGACAAGTATTAATAAAAAAAAATAATAGATAATTATATTAAAAAAATAATATTAACTAATTAAAATGTGACAATAATCTTACTCTAAGAAATATTCTTGCTTTCATAATCTTTTGATGAAATTTGTAAAAATGGTAAAAAAGATCAATTATTCCTTCGGTAATAATTATACAAATTATAAGTTCACTTTCCTTAAATAATATTTGCCCCTTTTTTTTTGAATAATCATGGGAATTTACCAAGATATAAAATTTTTATTAAGGCCATATTTGGTACAGCGGTTAAAATTTAATGGATAGTAAATAACGGGTAATGGTTAGTGGATAGTGGTAGCGCGTGACAGTTAACGGATAGCGGTTAAAATTTAATGGATAGTAAATAACGGATAGTGGTTAACGGATAGCGGTAGCGGGTGACAATTAACGGATAGCGGATGACGAATAACGGATGATAAATAACGGATTCGATAAATATAACTGTTTGGCTATATAATAATTAGCAATTGTTATTTAACATTAAATGACTAATAA